TTTGCAAGCTAAAGAAAAAAACTAAAAACAGCAATCATCAAAGACATCAGACCTACTGGGTCAGCCCCCCATTTTTTTTTTATAGCAATCCATAGACATAGTCAAGTCTACGCATAGTCCCGTTTCTCTAGCCAATCATAAAAAGAGTTCCAAGTTTGATAGAAGTATGTACCCTCTTTCTCCTTCAGAGATAAAGTCAGCCTGTCCATTTCAGCGCAGTCCAGGAGCTTTTTTAAAATCAGTTCATCAGTAGGTGGTTCTTCAATGCTGGGCAAATACAATCCTTGCCACAGTAATTACATGTAGAATCAGATACGTTGCCTGTTTGTTAACATCATCAGACACAGTGCCTAATAAAAAGACTTCGGGTTTAAGGAAACTTCAGAATTAATGTTTGAAATTGAAGTGCAGAGGAGACCTGGCATCAATGATGGCTTGCTGACCTAAGCAGTCCCACAGTGGGCAGCTGCGTTGGTTGGCTCATGCTGTGCCCAGTTCTGCACTGGATAACTTAACATGTGTTATTGATGGCTGCTCCTGAAGCATCCAGAAATGAGGGACTGGTTCCATTTTACAAAAGAAATAAGAGAAAAAATTCTATACTAGGAAAGATGCTTCTTGGAACCAACTTACATGTCCATACACTTGGCCAAAAAGGAGGAAATGCATCACCAAAAGGGGGAGACACAAAGAGAACGCCACTTTGCAAAATATTTGCACATGCACCTTTGTATGTATAGATACAGCTATAGAACTAAGAGTTGTAACTAGGTGTCCTGGGTGCCTGCTGAGTCTTTTCTCCGGGGGTGAACCTCAGAAGGGCACTTTGAACCCAGCTTGGACTGAACAGCCTGGCAAGTGGAGGATGCTTTCAGACAGGGGACTGTTCTATGCCCCCTGCCCAGAGGGGAGGGACATCCTCTGTAAACTAAGACACCTGGCCTCTTCTGCTCTTTCTCAAGGTCACTCACATCCAAAAATAACAATGGACATGGCATGGGATACTATTATCTCAAGGTCCTTACTTGATTTTAGTGTACCTATTTATCTATGTATTTAGTATCCTTGAAAAAGAGCTGAAGAAGCTCAAAACATGTTGGGCCATTTCCAGTGGCAGCTTTTCTTTAGTTTTTGCTGGTGTAAGTGAACCAACATGCCCTTGGTCAGCTTGTAAGGTCAGATGATAGAGAATTTCACCAGGCTATTTCTGACTTGAAGTCTAAACTACCTGCAGACAAAGAAATTGGGGTGACAGTTTCATGGTGTCTCTCCCAGGCAGGGCACACCGTTATCAGGGGTTGTGGTACCGGTTCTTTCCTTTTCCCTAAGACATTTCCCCCCTGCAAGCGACAGCAGCATCAGCTACGCTGGCAGCCAAGTTCCCCCTTTGCATCCTCCACAATACTCCATATCTTAAATCATAACTGGACCTTGGGGCAAGTGGAGGAATTGAACTATCTCAAAATCTAATGGTTGAAAGAATTTGGAGATAACTCTGTAAAGTGGATTTTTGGATCTAGTATGGTAAGGGGAAAAAAAACATCTTAGGATGATTCCCAGAAAAGTAACTTCTGAGGCATGTTAGCTCAGCTCTAGTTCTTCCTTCATGGTTCAGCACCTTTCTCAGGGTCTTCCACATGTTACATTTTATGGGATGATTCTACATACAGCTTCTTGTCTCCAATGCAGATGCTGAAACCTGCCCTTTACAGGCAAACCATGCAGCAGATGTGTGTGTCCTTAGGGTGTGGGTGGCATCCAGCTCCAAGGAAGAGAGAGAGCTACCACTGTGGCAAAAATCTGACCATCTGTTTCTTGAAAATCTTCTTTTCCCATGACAGAAGCTTACATTTTTCTGCCTCATACTCACTGCATTTTACAATTTAATTTGAATTTCTTTTGGTGATGTTTTGGACCTTAGCTCATCGCTGTAAGGTGGCGTGCGGAGGAGGAGCCTTTAACCCGCTGGCCGCACGGAGAGCACGGAGAGACGGACTGCTCACCCCCACCGCCTGGAAAGACCTGCCACTGCCGCTGCCGCCGCACCGCCCAGAAGACCATCGCCGGCACACTGCCGGCTGCCTGCACCATGTGGCACCACCTGGCCGGCACGCGCTCGGCGCACCCTGCTCCACGCCCCCCCCCCCGGCACAGGTGAGAGCTGTGCCACTCAGGGGGAGGCATGCAGAGGAGGAGGAGCCGTGGCCTTTACCCCGCCGGCTGCACGGAGAGCACGGAGAGACAGACTGCTCACCCCCACCGCCTGGGAAGACCTGCTGCTGCCACTGCCGCCGCGCTGCCTGGAAGACCATCGCTGGCACGCTGCCAGCCGCCTGCACCACGTGGCACCACCTGGCCGGCACGCACTCAGTGCGCCCTGCTCCACACCCCCCCTCCAGCGCAGGTGAGAACTGTGCCGCTCAGGGGGCAAGGTGTGGAGGAGGAGGAGCCACGGGCTTAAACCCACTGGCCGCACGGAGAGACGGACTGCTCACCCCCACCGCCCGGGAAGACCTGCTGCCAGCGCTGCGCCGCCCGGAAGACCACCGCTGGCATGCTGCCGGCCCCACGTGGCACCACCTGGCTGGCATGCGCTCAGCACGCCCTGCTCTGCCCCCCTCCTCCGGCGCAGGTGAGAGCTGTTAATCACAGGTCGGTGTGTGTTTTCAAATGGCAACCCGCCTTTTAATGAAGCCCATGGGGAAGTGATGGGGAATGTGCCTGTGATTATCAGGAAGCTTTCCATGGGTCAGTTATCTGTTAGTTGATCAGACACATTTTTTTTTAGGATCAGTGGATATTTGAACAGCATTACCTTCGTGTATGAAGTTTATTCTTCAAAGGCTACTTAGTCTGCTGTGTGTTTGATTTACCGTACAATATCTCATTTTTGTCAGAAGTTCTTTTCTATTATTTTCTAATAGGGCAGTGTGGACATTACTGGCTTTTTTAGATTTGTTATTGAATTGTCTGCAGCAGCTCTTGTATAACTGGTGTAGACTGTGGATTCCTTCAATAATTCCACTACTGACTAAGAAAGTGATGTCAGTGATTGTGAGCAACAGAGCTTCATAAATTCTGACTCTAGTGATGATGAGTTCTGTGGGTTCAACGAAAGCTAGAAGACTACTCGAACTTTAAAGTCTCTCTTTTGTTAATGACAGTGATGATGGTTCTTAATGCCACTGTTGACTGCTGTTCACTTTACAAGGTTGAAATACGGTATTACTGTATTCTGTTATAGTTTATTAAATAGTTTAGTAAACCATTTGATTCAGAATATTTTTTTTCTTGTTTTCCTCCTCTAAAACTAGGTGCGTCTTATGGTCAGGTGCGTCTTATAGAGCGAAAAATACAGTATCTGTCTTCTGTCATGCTTCAGTTGAAGTATGGGAGGATGAGGACACCACTGGTTGCCAGAGAGATGTAACTGTATAATGAAAGACTGGATGCTCACACATGCTCCTCAGCCATCTCAAAGGTATGGTAAGGACAAGAACCCTGAACCCACTTCAGGAAAATTTCTCTGAAAATCCCTTTCTTTTGAACTTGTTTTTGAAAGCTATTCCTTTTCTTTGAGATTGAATGAGAATGGTTCTAAAACATTTATTTATTTGGGACATTTCTAACCTGGCCAACCCCTGCACGTCTCTGGACAGCTTACAACAATGGTTCAATAAAAACAATAAATACAACAATATAAAATACCCTATTATTAGCCCAAATAATAATAATAATAAAAACAACAACAACACTAATAACTCATTGATGGTATTAATAAAAACACAATTAAAATTGAAACTTTAAAATACTGGGTGAATAAAAAGGTCTGAACCTGGCAGCAGAAAGCATATAATGTCAGTGCCAGGCAGACCTCTCTGGGGAGTGCATTCCATAGCCAGGGCGCCACCACAGAGAAAACTCTTCTCTGGGTCTCCTGATCTCCTTCAAGGAGGGTTCCTGGAGCAGGGCCTCTGCTGCAGATCTTACGGGGTGGGAGGGCATATAGGGAAAAAGGTGTTCCTTTAGGTATCCTGGTCCCAAGCCGTTTAGGGCTTTATAGGTCATAACCAGCACCTTAAATTGGGCTTGGACTTCATTGGGAAGCCAGTGAAGCTCATAGAGGACCGGAGTTATGTGAGCATAACGACCAGCCTCCAACAGCAATCTGGGAGCTCTGTTTTGCACCATTTGAAGTATCCAGACTGTCTTCAAGGGCAGCCTCACGTACAGCGCATTACAATAGTCCAACCGGGAGATTGCCAGACTGTATGTCACTGTGGCTAGGCAGTGTGAGTCCAGGTAAGGACAGGGCTGATGGACCAGCCAAAGCTGTAGGAAAGCACTCCTTGCCACCGCAGTCATCAGGGACAGTTCTGGGTCGAGGAACACTCCTAAGCTGCAGACCCTGTCCTTTAGAGGGAGTGCAAAATGTGGAGGAAATGTTTAGCACAATACTAGTTATCACTAATTATTACACTGTATCCTGAGCACTCTTTTCTAGTGCAGTGACTTTTACCTAAGATGCTGAATCTTGAACTGGAACATTCTGCCAGACGACTATGTAGCAGTTTTTTAAAAAATGCATTTTAACAATTAAGCAAAAGAAGATCCTGTAACTCTTCCCTTACCTGTCCACGTCTTTGAAATAAAATTTCAATCAATTGTCAACTTCTGTAATTGTTGTCATTATAACAGAAATAACAATCCAACAGAAATAACAATTTTGTGTGGATAATAACTGGATTCTCCAATACAATTTTTGTCAAGATCCAGACAAACTCCAGACATTATACAACATATATTTCAAACAGAAATCTTTATTTAAACTATCACTGAGGTGGGAAATGTGGGGTAAACATTTTGTTTCATCTCATTAGAAAGCGAAGAATTAATGACAGGTTGAAACTTGCAAATATTGAATCAGTAAGAATATAAATGAGCGATGAAACATCAGATGAGGACAAGAACCTTCACAGGCACTGGGTTAATAATATTGGCTATAGCTCTTTTAAGTAATGCAGCAGCGGTTCCAGGGGCAGGTCTTGCTGAGGACGGAAAGACTGAAATGCTTTATCAATTTTCAGTGGACTAAGGCACAGATCATAAATTTGATTGTAGTTATGGACCAAGCGCTTGGCTTTTTCTTTTTCCAACTTTCCTGTGTTTGGGGGGAGACATTGTTTTCTCATTTGGTCAAAAACAGACTTGAATATCAAGCAAACATATTCTTAACAGATTCACACATAATCGCAAAACATGGGTTGCTGATAAAGTAGTGATCTCCCGGCCACTGTGTTCTGTCTTTCTTCTTCATTTGTGCACTTTAATTTCCCCATTGTTTGCAGCAACCCAGAGGACCTATCCAGTTGGGGATTCAGACCACACAGGGAGAGACAACAACATCACACACGCTGGTGCCAATGCTGCTGGCACTGCCCACCCCCAGCCATCCCCCACACCCCTGTCAATCTGGGCTCCAGATCTTCATACAGCCTAACTGTTTTCAGCATGAGTCCCTACTTCACATCCCGCTCCAGAGCCCAGACACATGGTCAATGCGGTGGTGGAGCAGCGAGGGACCTGGTGGCAGGGGCAGCACATGCAGAGTCTCGGAATCTCTCTACATGATTCAACTTTATGTCTCTATATGTCTCATATGTCTTTATGTCTCTATTCAACTATAGCCAATGCTGGAATTGGGCTATAGTTGCCATTATACATTATCTGAACAACCAAACTGTGGTTTGCACTTTCCCTTCTAACGGGATTTGAAACCATGATCAAACTCTGGTTTACAGCCCTAATTTGGACGGAAAGTGCAAGCCATAGTTTCCCAAGTCAGATGCAGAGGTATATGAGAAAGAGAGGAAGAATGCTTAAACATAGGGATCATTTGCTTAGTGACTGCTGTAACAGAACACTACTGTTCCTTGGCTTCTATTACCGTATTTCCCCGAAAATAAGACCAGGTCCTATATTAATTTTTGCTCCAAAAGACGCATTAGGGCTTATTTTCAGGTGATGTCTTATTTTTTCATGTACAACAATCTACATCTATTCATTCATGTAGAAAAACCTACATTTATTCAGATAGAGTCATGTTGTCATCTTCTGGAACATCATCATAACTCTCCAACCCCAGAATTGTGTTGCAACGGACGTACTAAATGTGTCCATCTGGCTGATGATCTTAACTGGGGCTTATTTGGGGGGTAGGGCTTACATTATGAGCATCCTAAAAAACCATGCTAGGGCTTATTTTCCTGTTAGGTCTTATTTTCGGGAAACAGGGAAAGAGCTTGTCAGGAATCAATTGAAACTGAGTACAGCACTTGGTACCATTTCATGCACTTTACCACAGTGTTTAAGCCCTGACTGACTGATAGAAGGAGAAATGACCAAATCCCAAGGTGCATAATTCTCTGCACCGCCCATTCCTAATCACTCTTACCTGTGTTTTTGATGTCAGCCATATAAAGGGCTCTCTCTAGCTTTCTGAACCGATCTATCCAGGCTTCTCGTTCCACAGAATCATTACAGTCTGATGTGTCATTATTAATTTGCTTCCAGGACTTGGTGGTAAGACATCCGTGTTTTTCTTTGTCCTTTAAAGCAAATAAGTTACATTTTTAAAAGGTTAGTATTTGTCAGCATTCTATAATAAAACCATGGGGGTGAGGAGTGATCACAAGAGGTTCCATGTAATGGCTACTCCAGATTCTCACAAGATTACTTTAACCAGTTTATTGAATAAAGAAGGGCAAACAATGTTTCTGGCTTCTGTTGCAGAATCACTAGCATGATTCAGAAATCTGAGTTCAATGGACATCCTAAACTGTACCGTACAAGTTGCTATCAACTTTATTTTCTTTGTTGAAGAAGCAAACAAAATGATTTGCGAAATCCTTAAAGTCAGGCTGGAAGAGGACACTGGGTTAAGGATTTCTAAGTTACTTGGGTGGATAAAATTATAAGTATGGGCAGTCCCTGGGTTACAAATGAGTTCTGTTCCTGGAAAAAAAAATGGAAATTCATCTTCAAGGCAAATTTGTATCTAAGTCAGATCACATATACTTAGCCCTCCACATTCATGGGGGTTAGGGGGCTCAGGACCCCATGAAAATGGAAAAACTACAAATATCTCTAGGCCACCTGCCACCACCCAAACTCACCAGTGTCTCCATTTTGCAGCAAGGAAATGCTGAAGAGATTTCCTTCTTTGGGTGGGTGGGTTGGGCAGGAAGGCATACTTTGGAGGTGTCCCCCTCTCCCCTTTCACTTCCTCTCTCTCTATGTTGATGCTTTGGAGGCCCTCCCTCTCTCCTCTTTTGCTTCCTCTCTCTCTCACTGGTAATGATGATTTTCCACAGTATTTTTTAATTAATAGGTTTTATGGCAGTTTGTTCATAAGCACAGGTTGTTCATAACTTGGACATTCATAACTCAAGGACTGCCCACAGTATAAGCGGTTTCCCATTCAGGGTTTTTACAAATCATGTTTTATTAACATTTCTGGATTTATCAACATGATTTTGACAATACCTGAGAATCATCTTCACTTTTCTCTATTTTTCTTCCTAAGATAGAAACATTCATGAGGATTTTATTCAACTGTAGGAGGACAGTTCTCAAAAACTTATCTAGGATGGACTACTTCAGAAGCTACAAATACGAATACTATTTCAGTTCTTCTCAATTACATGACTGGAAAAACGTATTGATTCAGTTTTCAGTTTACTTGTCTTTGAATTTGCTTCTGAGCAAAATGCTGAGAAAACATACTATATCAAACTTCAGAAAGCAATGTATTCTCTCTAGTGGCTGGAGCACACCAAGTAACTTGTTCTTTCAAACAACTGATTTACATGAAGGGTGTCAAACCCAAATGTGTAACCACAGGAACTGCGTTAGGCAAACTGCATAGGCATATCACATGCCTTTTCTACTGCCCAAATCTCAACCCTGCCGTGCGGCCATCAATGGCAGTCCATTAGTACTATCACCTGTTACACAGTCTCCATGAGGCCACAGGTGCCAGGTACTCACAAAAACCCTGGGATATAATACCCTGGGAGCAGGCAAGGGTTAAACCTCAGCTACCACTCCTATTTCCAGTGTTCAGAGGTGACTGCTGGTGTTTATGTAGCCAGGAAACCACTCCATCCATGCACACAAGGGAGGCACCACCAAGGTTTGCAGAACAAAAAGGCTTGCGGGAGGCCACTTCTGAGCTGGACAAGGAATTCTCAGTCCAATAAGGATGGAGTGTGATCAGTGGCCACAGAATGCTGACCTCTGATGGAGGGGAGAGCGAACTGGAGGATTGGGGGGGGGGGGGGGCAAACTGAATGGAGAACAGGAACACTGCCCAGGGGGCAAAGCTGAACTGATAAAAGAGGGAGAGCTCTGGGGGAAGGGATAAGAAATGGATGGAAAAAGTCTCTTGGAAATAGGGAACCATGCTGCAGCCAGCAATTGCAAACAACCGTTTGCAAACGCAGATTGTTGTGGCTATTTGTGGGGCTGGATCATGTTTTCGTCCTTAAAATGTCAACAGCGCAAACATTTGCATCCTTCACCTACAATGCTGAGCTGAATCAAGTGCAGCGCCTTTCCTCCCTATTTCAGCTTATATATCAAGCCCTGCACTGCTTCATCCTCCAGCTAAGCCCTGTAATTTCTCATCCATACCAATTGGACATGTACAAAGTTATGGGTGGCCAGACAGATTGTGAGGCATAAAATTAAATGGTGGGATGAATCAAGTACCAGCAATGAATAGCATTTCTGGTCGGAAAGGCAGCTGGTTTGCCTGCAGCCAGATGGTTAAAGTTCAAGTTCAACTGTTGCATCCTGATCAGCCTCTGTAGCAATGGTTACAATTGGCTCACCTTTGCATTCAGTCACCTCCTGAATATTAAGTATCCCAGAGAGCTTTCTGAAGATGATTAGATTAATGCACTGCTAAAGCCAATGTCTCGTGTCCATCATTCCTTTCACCATTAAAACGAAAATTGCAATGAGCTAGCACTCTGTAAATTGCATACCCATCGGGCCTAATTGCTTTTAACAGATGTATTGTAATGCCTTGAGGATGCAGCAAAGATCACAGCAGCACTGCGCTTGTTATTTCATAGATCAGTGGCAATTTCACAAAGTCAGGCAGGGAAGGTATTGTAAAAGTGCAGCATAAATGCAGGACCAAGGCTGTTCCATGGGAACACTCCAGTAGGAACAAAGCTGACTTCCATTCTGGAATCAAGGTAGATTCGGATCTTAGCTGACATTCTTAGCAATGTCAGCTGAATGCATTCTCCATGTTGCCAGCTGTTGGAGAACTGCCCTCCTCCCATGTTTGTTGGCTTCGTATAGGCATCTTGTTGGCCGCTGTGTGAAACATGTTCTTAAACTGGCAATGTTTGCTCTTGCCCACCAGATCAGCTCTTATTTTCATATGCCTGAACCAGTAGACTTCTATTTGCTGAATGGGTGTTGGCACAAACAACAGAAGATGGTTATCATCACTGTTATAGTCTCCTGATGAGCCTTATGGAACTTGCTAGGGGGGAATTCTGGACTACAGATCACTGGTCTGTATTAGGTTTATCCTCAACACCACCAAGAACAATATCATAGATCACCTGATAACAAAAGGTTCTCTAGGTGGTATTAAACAGAAATGTCTATGTTTACAGGATGCTTGCAGTTGTTGGATATCGGGAAGATTAACCGTGCACTCTTGCTAGGCATGGGGCCATGATCTGAGGTGCATGAACTTTCTCCTCCAAACCTCTGCTAGACTCCTGCTTGCAGGGTAGAAATAAGGGGAAAGAATCACATGTTCCTCCATTCCACCCCCTCCCTGCTGGCCTTTAAAAAATGGCATTACTCCCATTAAAATTGTAGTGTTGTGACTGCTCTGGGGGCTTGTCTGGGGAGCAGGAGGACTAGCTGCAGGATCCCCAGCCTCTTCCAACACCCACCTGGCATGGCTTCTTTCCCCCTTTCTGGTAGCAGAACCCCAACATGACCTGGCTCATTCCTGTGGCTGCATGGAGGGGATTCCCAGGGCAACTGAAGTTGTACCGCCATCCTCAGCACCCATGGCCTTTGGGCGTGCTTGTGGGGAGTGGGGCTTATAGGAGTTGATGATTCAGCTGCATCAGCATGCTTATAGGTTACCCAGCCCTTTTTCACGGAATGTAAATGCTGTTGCAAGCTTGTAATACTTAAACATTTTCCTTGCCCATTCCAAAATGCAGCTAAGTAGCTTACTTCCGCAAACAGGTGAAGCAGGATTTATCTCAGCCTGGGCTTGCTTCAGAAACTCCACAAATGGTTTCCATCTACATAAGGAGATATCCCAAAATTAAAAGCAATACCTGAAAGCAGATTTCTATTACATTAGTTCACCAGCACAAATTCCATCAGTTATGTTGTAAGATTAAATACAAACAAAATCAGTACATTAAAAAGAATGTCCTGCTTTCTTGCCACTTCTTGCCAGTTTGCTCAGATCCTCTTTTGGCTACTGCTAGAAACTTAAGAGCAGCAGTCTATTTAGTCAGAATGGTCAGTAATGGCTAATGGGAGGTATCTTGCCAGTTTCTTTGTGTCAAATACTGGTCTGTCCCACCCATTCTATCTGGAGCCTGATGGTAGAGATACTGAGGATCTACCAGGTGCATCTTAATGGCAAGACAGGTAATCTGCTACTCCGGGGGGCAGTTGTGCTAGTCTGTGTTGAGCCAAAAACAGCCCCAGCTCTCCCACCACCTCAGGGCATGTGCCTTCCTTTTCTCTTTGCTACCGCCACTGCACTGCCTCCTTGGAGACCTACAGACAGAAGTTGTGGCTGTCAGGGTCTTGCAAGGGTTTGCCCAGGTCTTGTGAGCTCCTGTGAGATCCCCACAGCTGCCTCTTCCACCTACACAGTTCTCCACAGAAGTGGAAAAAGTAAAGGGACATGAAATGAATGAAACCAAGAATGGGTTGCCATTCCAGAGAGTCCTGATTGTTCTGCTGTTTGTTCATTGAAAAAAGCCACCAAAGCAAGAAAGCAACTGGAAGGGCTTCCCAGAGCTCCACTGGAGGTGAAAGGGTAGGAGTGGTGGCCCCTCCTGGGGTGGGATGAGTGGTATGATTTGCAACTCCTCCCACTAGATCATACAGCGTGGGCCCCTCACCCTGCTTTGCGGGAGGTTTGGCCCTGCTTAAAAGAGAGAAGTCTTGTGGTACCTTAAAGATGAACACATTTATTGGTCACATAAGCACTGAATGAAGTGAACTGTAGTCATATGCTCACTTTAATGTACCACCAGACTCTGTTGTTTTTGAGGAAAGATCCTTATCAGTGGATTGGCGGACAAATGACATAAGGAAGCAATTGTACCTCAGAAGTTAATCCCTTGGTTTAGAAAGATGAAGCCACAGGCCTCTTGTAAGGAGTGTGCTAAAGAAACCTATGAATCTTTCTTCAGTTCATCTTTCTGTGACTGTTTCTCTTTCTGTGATGGGTTAAAGGGAGTCCATTGCTTTGTGCATTGGGATTAATCTCACATGACTGCAGTCACTCAGGATGGTTTATTGATCTTGAGCACATTTAATCACAAAGTGCCTCAGAGCAGGATTCTTGCTAATTGCTGAGGAATTTCAACACAGTGGGAGTGGAGATTAGAACAGCTGAAGCATCGCTAAAGTAATGATTCTATTGCACACACACCAGTTTATTTTATTTTCCTTGGTTTTTTTTTTAAAGCACCTTTGATGATCAGATGCTGCGATGCCTAAGCTTTGTAACACATTTTTGCTATATTTGTTTTTAAGGGGTGTCTTTAGGCAAGACAATATGCATTTGTCAATTATGTATTCATTTCTCAGTGGAGGTAACAGACATTGATATGGTGCTATCTGAGATCAATGTACTATAATAGGTAAGATTCAAAAAGCAATAAAATGACTTATCTTGAATGATCTGAAATAAAGATTGAACACTTTGGAAGGGCACAGCAATTGTATTTCTTGACAGCATACATCAAACCCTGCATGTGTGATCATGGAAGTTTCAGAAACTTTCCTTTATATCCTCCTCCTCCAAGCTCCCTCCTGCATTTTTCAGCAGCTTTTTGTGGCATGTTTAGAGCGAGGAAGGCCTGGCTTTCCTGGGATGGCACCAGTATTCATTACAAAATCAACTGGATTTTCACAATTCCACACTATAACATAGAACCCCGTGCATTATGAAATGGAACATTTGTTGCTGTCATGACATATAGGAACATATAGAAAGCTAGAGGTGAAAATGTCCAGACAAAAACCTGATATGAGGGATGTTGTACTCCTCACACAAAGAAAGCGGAAGAAAATGCCTCAGTAAAGCATTGGCTTATGTGCTTTACGTAGGTGAAGACAGTGCTACTAAGGGTTTTCTGTACACAGTACTGCACTAGGGGACTACAACTCACTCTGCATGGGCACAGAGTAGCAAAAAGTGCAGAAAACTCAAGGTCTCACAGGTTCATGTTCTTACAGATTATCTTCATTATCCTAAGTAATGGTCGAAAATGTGATGGAAATCTTTGCAGATGGTGGGTACTCATGGCATTGGTGGAAACACAGTGTAGACATGGATATAATAAAAGCCCTATGCAAGCCTCTGGCCTGTTCTCATGAGGTCAAAAAGTGTGTTATGGGCATGTATCCCCAATTCCCAAGGTCCAAAATCATGTGGATCCTGACAGAGGCCTCTGCATCACTGGGAACTAAGCCTAACCTGGAGAGATGCGAACTAGGTTTTATGTCATTTTGTGCTTCCTGAATGCTATGCTAATCTAGACAGTCGATGATTCTATTTATTTTACTATTTTGTACTTATAATAGAACCAATGCACTGCCTTCCCCCTCCAACTGGAGGTACATAAATCAGATAACCTTTATCTGTAAAACAGGGTCATTTGAGTAGAAGCCCTCAGCTCCACAGGTGGTGGTGGTGATTGTTGTTGTTAGCCGTGAAGTCGTGTCCGACCCATCGCGACCCCATGGACAACATTCCTCCAGGCCTTCCTGTTGTCCACCATCCCCGGAGTCCACTCAAGCTCACACCAACTGCTTCAGTGACTCCATCTAGCCACCTCATCCTCTGCCGTCCCCTTCTTCTTTTGCCCTCAATTGTTCCCAGCATTAGGCTCTTCTCCAGGGAGTCCTTCCTTCTCATTTGGTGGCCAAAGTACTTGAGTTTCATCTTCAGTACCTGGCCTTCTAAAGGGCAGTCAGGGTCGATCTCCTCTAGGACTGACCGGTTTGATCGCCTTACGGTCCAAGGGATTCGCAGGAGTCTTCTCCAGCACCACAATTCGAAGGCCTCAATTCTTTGGTGCTCAGCCTTCCTTATGGTCCAGCTTTCATAGCCATACATTGCAACTGGGAAAACCATAGCCTTGACTATATGCACTTTTGTTGGCAGGGTGATGTCTCTGCTTTTTAGTATACTGCCTAGATTTGCCATAGCTTTCATCCCCAGGAGCAAGCGTCTTTTAATTTCTTGGCTGCAGTCCCCATCTGCAGTGATCTTGGAGCCCAAGACAGGTACTGAATCATTTTTCATGTCTAGCAGCTAGTTTCTTAATTGTGCTGCCTTGTTCTGAGCTGTTCCACACATTCAAGTCATGACTATTTATTTTTTATTTATTTATTAAAACATTTTTATGCCGCCCCATTCGCCGAAGCCTCGGGGCGGCTCACATCAATAAATTAAAATAATTATAATATAAATTAAAATATAAATATAAAATTAAAATACAACAGTACAGTATAAAATAAGCCGCCCTGGCCAGATAAAACCAATAATGTTAACAGTTAAAATGCCGCTTGAATAAAAAGGTCTTCGCCTGGCGCCGAAAACCAAATAACGACGGCGCCAGGCGGACCTCTCTGGGGAGCGTGTTCCATAACTTAGGCGCCACCGTGGAGAAAGCCCTCCTCCGAGCACCCACCCTCCTAATTTCTTTCATGGAGGGTTCCCGGAGAAGGGCCTCCCCCGCCGATCTCAAGGGGCGGCTGGGCATATATGGATGCAAGCGCTCCTTCAGGTAACTATAATGGGCAGGAGGGAAGGAAACATCTGATAAAACATTTGATTAAAACTCACTGCATTCTGCCTCTTCTACCAAAATCATAGGTGCTAACCAAAAATTCCATCATACCAGGATGTAGAATTAGTCCATGCTTTTGGCAAATGTTCTCTGTCTGCAAAGAAGAAAGAATTGTTGCTGGGCATTACTTACAGGGAGGAAAGGAAGCTGGAAGAGGCCCAGGATAATTTGGCCTCCTTTGGTCTCCTTCCCTCTCCACCCACTGGAACGCCCCTCCCTGTGCCCCAAGATCAATCTTCCAGCCTTGGATGCCAGCTGGCATGGCTCTTTCCATGCTTGCTGTGAAGGGGCAGAGGAGGGGGTGGGGTCAGTCCTCCAACTCTCCCTTCCCAGCTTGGAGTGCAGTCCCAGTAACCTCTAGCCCCTCAGGCAATTTCTAGGCTTGTGGGCTCCTTTGGAACTTGGGACATGCTGATGGCTGTAGTCCAACACAATGTCTATTTTTTACCTCAGAGAGTGAAAGAAGACCAGAGGAAGTCTTATCTTGTTGTAGGAAACTCAGGCATAGTTTTCTGAAATCCAGCTGTCCTGTATGTTCTTTAAGTATTTGCTTCAAAGCCTGGAACACATCCTCTTGAGTCCAAGAACTATGAAATGACAATGGGTACAAAGAAAGGATTAGGGTTAAAGAGGCCACTCGGTTTATGATTATTTGTTGCAGTCTTATAGTTCCTTTCCAGCGCAAAAATTTCCAGATGTTTGCAAGTGTTTTGCAGAAATATAAATAAATTTCCAACTGAGAAGCTAATGGGGCAACTTGCACAGTAATAGAGAGCACCTGGTAATCAAGTCATAGAAAAACTATGAAGTGGAAAAGATAAGAAAAACATTATTGATATAAAATTAAATTGAGAAATCTAGACTTACGGATAGCTAGCATAGCATAGTTTACAATTTGTGAATGTAGCTCCAGCCAATTCCTTGTGACAAAGGAGAAGTTGCTTGAAGGTGTTTGGTAGTTTTACTCCTAATACTGCTTCCTGGGGGCACCCCTGTGGTGACATAGCTGCCATAGCATCTCTTCAGACCTGCTCTCTTCTCCTCTTGGCCAGTTTCTCTGCACTGAAATAGCTTTCCACACCACTGCCACCTGCTCTATCTGGCAGTAGCAGCTATTACCAAGTCTTTACCCACAGCCTGTGCGGATGCTTTGTGACCACCTTCCCACCTTCCCAGCTTCCCAACCCCACATGTTAGCTGATAGCGCAGCAACAAGATATTAGTCAAAATTCATTTATTCATGTGCAATGGAACCAAAGCCTTTTTCATATCCTATATATCAAGCATAGATAAAAGTAGAAACCAAGACTGCCATCTGAAGCATACTTACTTGGACAAACTTTCAACTTAAGCCAATGGTATCTTCTGAAAATACAATGTGTTTAGGACTGGGATGTAAACATGAAAATGTCAGTTTACTTCTGATGTTTTGAACTGACAAACCCCACAGACAATATTCAATTGCATGTTCTATTTAGAAAGCTTTTAAGTTTTTCTGGCATTTTTACAAGTAGTATTGTTGGATTTGTTTTTACCATTATTTGGGAGTTACGTATATAGTGTGTGTTTACATTTCTGTTTTGAAAGGAAGCAAATAAAATCAATGATTTCAATGGGCCCCTTTTTGTCACATAGGTATGTGCAGAACTAAGTTACACTTTGCTCAGAGGCACATCATTTAAAACAGTTAAGGTTCTGAAAAGAGGCTTTGTATGTTAACCACCTGCACCACTGAATTTAGATTCACCCTGAAACAAGATGCGGCTCAAGTTATGATATCTTTTATATATTTTAATGTCTGTATTTTATTGAACATCGCCTTGAGCACACCGAGTAGAGGTGCAGTCCAAGAATATGAAAAGGCTACAACCCTGTGTATGTTTAAACCGAAAACATCCAGCAGCTCCCAGCATTTCCCAGCCAGCAATAGTCAATCAATCCATCTCTAGGTTCTTTAGTTTGGTGCTGGCCCAGGACAAGAGAGACTCATTCAGTGGAGAACCATTATTGCGTCTTTTAGACCCTTTTCAAATGGGGTCCTGTATAAGCTGGAGGCACCAATAAAAATTACAGCTTAATCTTTACAGCTGCAGGCTGTATGTCATATCACAGATAATAAACCAGTCCATCTTGGCCAAAGGATATTTTGGAAAACTGAACATAATGTTTGTTTAAGCAGACTGGCTGGCATGATGTTTAGATTGCCAGATAAGGACTTTCCTTATTTGGTTTCAGATTCAGATTAGGCCTTCTAGGCTTCATCTGAGCGCTATTTGGAAATGTGAGAAAGGTGAATGTTGCTGTAACTCTATACGTACTGTACTAAGAATAAGTCCCATTTGACTCAGTGTGACTTACTTCTGAGTAGATATGATTATCACTGTGAATTTCCAATTTTTCTATAGACCGTTAGGATGTATACATACTTATCTGAAAACAGCTTGCCTCTAAGCAGACATGAATATCATGGTATTAATAATACCTTATGGTATTAATACACAAATGGTACTGACAGTAATACATACAGTACATTCCTATACATGTCCACTAAGATAGTGGTTTTCAAGCTTTCCACAGCTCAGGACTGGCAAAAACAGGAAAACCAACTTGGGGACCACTGAGGCAGAAAAAAAAGCACCCTACACATAATATGGTATTCTGTGTATTAGTTTCCTAACACAATACGAAAAAAATGAAAATTCTCCAAATCACTTCCGTAAGAAAGCCCTATTTATTCAAAGGGATTTATTCTGATAAGTGTGCACATAATTTCAAGTTTTAATTCCTCAGGGCATGATGAAGAGGTTGGAAAGGACATTATTCATCATGAACAATATCCAACATGCCCTGTGACTATAACATTAACCTCTCTCTCCCTCCCTCAAATGCAGCAGTCATACCACTCATTCTCCTGGAGATCTAGTCTGTGTTTGACTACCGAGTGTTGCAGGAGACCTAAAGAATGTTGTGTGTATGGCAGCTTTGCAGCACTACTTGTAAATCAGGGATGGACAACTCATAGCATTCCAGATGTTTTGACCTACAAGCCCCATCAAACCTAGCCAGTATGACCCTTGGTTATAGATCATGGTCAAAACACCTGGAGACTGAATTGCTCTGCCTTACTCTAATCTGACCGTCTTATGCATATGTTTCTTGAGGTTCTGTTGTAAATCTCTGTCAACTTTATTACACAACCTTAGTAGAATGGTATCCTTACAATAACATGTCAACACTACAGTCAATATTCAGTGGTGAGAGCAGAGATCTGAAAAGTATCAGATAATAAATGTGGGCCAAATATCTTGTCTATCAGATAAAGAATACTGTTTGTGGTGTATATGTATAAGGTCGGACTGATGTTCAACACTTTAGGAGGAATACATAGCACAAGTGTACACTGCTGAGGAACATTTACTCAAAAGTCAGTCTCAGTCAGTCCAATGGGACTTACTCCCATGTAACTAAGGATTTCAGTCTCAAGCTGTCTCTTAACTAGTTTTCTTTGCCAAAGTTAATTAAAGAAATTCTTCATAATATCCACAGATACAGCCCTAAAATCTGAGGAGCAGGTGTTCAAAGAGTCAAAACATGTTTCATTATCAGGGATTTAGGACTGCTGCAAGAGAAGATTTTTGCTCTTAAGTACCATAAAGCTCTTTTCAGTGCCAGAAGCAAGTCAATTTTTCATTTGGATTCCTTCAGAGTTCAGATGGGCTTATAACAAGGGCATCTATTATATCCTTACCAGGCAGAAACCAAAAGTAGAAGTTTGTTTGTTTGTTTGTTTAATGGATAGATACATTGCTCATCTATTGACAGTGAAGAGTATGTTGAAAATTAAAATAGAACCTTTTACTCTGATTCTTTTGACTCTTTTCAGAAAGAGCCCCTGCTTGGTGCGTTTTATTTGCTGCCACTAATGTTAATAGCTGGAACAACTTCTCATAATTTACCTACAAGGAAGACAAAGCAGTTTAATTACAAACAATAGTTTAAATCAGGATGTTAAAAATGAAGAAAAATAACACTTAGCTGTATAGAAATAGTTGCTATTATTGCTTGAACTGATTTCACTGAACCTGCTTTGAAAGATACTTCTGACTAAAATAAATAAACTTTATAACTGATGCAAGGAGGTTTGAATCTGCCTGCTCTTAATATCTCCTCCAACATGGTAACTGAAATAGTGTCTTAAGCTCCAGTAGGGAATGGTAGTTCTATGAGGGAGAACAAGGATTTCAGAGAGAGTAGTCTCAATGTCCTTGGCAAACTCCCATACCCAGAATCTTCTGAGGACAAGGGCAGAGCCAGGGCAGGAAAAGTAATACACCATTGGTTCAAGGCTGTATATTATTATAGTCATTATTATTTTCATTATATTGTATCCCACATTTTCCTCTTGCCAGGAACCCAAGATAGCTTGCATAGCTATATTTATCTTCTGAACAACAGCCCTGTGAGGTAAGTTAGACTGAGATGGAGTGACTGGCCCTAAGTTACAGAGAGAATGGAGGAATGGGGACTTGAACCTGAATCACCTGGGCCAGTGCAGTGGTTAGATTGTCAGACTGGGATCTGGGAGATCCAGATGTAACTCTCTACTCAGCCATGAAGTTCACTGGGTAACTTTAGGCCAGTCACTCACTCTCAGCCCACCCTCCTGCATGGAGTAGTTCTGAGGATCAAACTGGGAGGAAGAGGAGGAATCATGCAGGAGACCTTGAGTTCCTGCAAGAACACGGTGGAATGTAAATATAATTAATATGTATTTATTTATTTAAAGTATTTATATGCCATCCTGTTGTGAAAGCCTCAGGACGGCTCACATAGATAACCTAAATTAGTGCCTAAATAAACATAAGAAGCGCCCTGATAGATCAGGCAAAACGCCTATTCTGAGTTCAGCTTCCTCTTGCCTGCAGTGGCCAGCCGATTCCAGTGGAAAGCGCAACAAGCAAGATGCACGGGCAGCAACGCTTCCCCACTGTTGCTCCTCGGCTGCTAATGGCAAGCACCAGGCTGCCTCCGATCCTGGGGGTGGCAAAGCACCATTGAGTCTAGTAGCCCTTGGAGACCTCCTCCTCCAGACGTCTGTCTTCCCTCCTTCAGAGCTATCCAAGTTGCTGGTCATCATCTTATCTTGTGATAGTGAATTTGTGCAACAGTGCAAATGCAGAATGTCTCTCTCTTGCCTTTCACAAAATAAAATAGGAGAAATGTAGTTGTGCCAAAATACTGAATTCACATACCAATTCCAGGTCATTTGCCTTTGAAAATCTCTTGAAAAGGAGTTTGACTGTGGGCAACTGAAGAGGGACTTCATGTTTTAGGAGCAGAGGGTTCAGCTGTGCCTGAGTTAGAAATCCTGAAGCTCTGAGATCCAAAGACTTGCATTCTTCCTGCAGTTGGTCCAATTTCAGACTCAAGGGATACAGCTCAACTTCCTTTTTGAGGGCAGCAAGAAGAGAATCCTTCTCTTCATATGTCTCTGTTGGTACTTGCACAATATCCTATGGAAACCCATTGTTTATATAATTTTTGAGATATAGTGATAATTAATACCTTTATATTATTTATTTAATTATTGAATTTGTATGCCAACTGACAAAAATTGTTTAGGCAGAGATTAAAGAAAAATGATTACATACACAATTATAAGTACAAAAAAGTACAGTGGTACCTCAGCTCATGAACGCCTCGGTTCATGACCAAATCAGGTTGTGAACAGAAATTTCAAATTTTGCCTCAGGTCGCAAACTCCGCATCAGGTGACAATTGCAATCGCGCCTGTCTTCCCTGCATGGGTGCGAATGCGGCTGTGCTTGGGGTGGGGCAGGGTGGGGGGAGATGGCTGCAATCTTTGTTGTTCTTTGTCACTTTGTTTCAAATTTTTGTGATTAAAAAAATAGTTCCAGAATGGATTAACCTTATTTACATTGAACCTTATGGGAAAATTTGGCTCATGACCAATTTGGGTCGCAACCAGAGTCATGGAATGGATTAAGTTCATGAGCCAAGGTACCACTGTATAAATAAAATAAAACCAGAGGATAAAACTGATAAAACAGAAGTTCAAAGCAGCACATTTCTCCCACTTCTTAAGCCTCTAGAATATCACAGAAACATAAAAGATGCTAAAGTTTAGCGGGCCTTTCTGGATGCCGATCTGCCTGTCCAGCTGGGCAGAGAGACTTTGGCCCTGTGGACCACTGAGACTCAGCCCCAGGTCAGTAGGTGGTAGGGACTGACCTGGCACAACGATAGCCGAGCGAGGGAAACACAGCAGAGCAGCGGCGCACTAGCTGTGGACACTTGCAGGTGGCTGATCCAAGACGGTCCCTCCCATTACGCTGGCCTATTCCCCTGGAGTCCTTCCACCCTACCTGGCAGCCCAGGGAAGCAGCTGAAGGGTGGTGGCCAAAGGGCGCTGCCTGTCCATGCCCATTTGAGGGCTGGTTGGTGCCTGGCTGGGCCTGATACTCTGGCCATTGGCTGGTTGCATGGGTGATAGTCATTGTAATCTACATGATGATAATGAATTGTCTAATGCTAATTCTTTGTATTCCTATTATTGCTTTAGAAATTTTATAAATCCTATAACTTGTTGTATTTATCACCTCATGTAGCCACTCTGATTTTCTCTTGTTTTGAACTGTTGTACCTTGTTTTATATTGCAATTTATTGCATCTTGTATGGTGCATTAATGTATTTGTAAACTCCTTTGAGAGCATTTTATGGCTTTAGTAGCAATATAGAAATTTAATTTAATAATAATAAATACAAAGTTATTTGCATGGCACTGGAAATGCAAAAGGACAGACACGAGGTGAGCCTCTTTGAGTAAGGCATTCCGTAATGGAGGCGCCACAGCTGGAAAAGCTCTCACACTTGTAGCTACCCTCATCAGAATTCAGGGGCTTCTGAAAAGAGCCAGGCATGTAGGATCTTAAAGGTGGTCTAGGAGGAGGTATTCTGCCAGGTACCTGGTAAGACATTTGGGCTTTAATGATAAATACCAGAATTTTGAATTGTGCCCAGAAATAGACTAGAAGCTGCTGCAGATGCAGAATACTGGCTTATAATGACCACACCATCCAGTTGCCCTTCTCTCTTTTTTCCTGTTCTGGGCGGGTTGGACTACATCTTCATTAAAAGGCACTGCAGGCTCAATTAAAGACAATACCATCACAAATGCTGAAAATATCCATCAAGCACAAGTCACACACATGGGGTTATAATTCACCCTGACTCTGTTCAAGTTCAGTTACCTGTTGCCTTTCAAGTTGTCTTAAAGTCTGAGCTCCAAACGATGGTTTCTGGTGTGTATGAATGTAGGATAATGACTTATCTCCACAGGGAGCTGTGGCGCAATGTCTATTGAGTGGCTTTAGAACCTTGAATAACAAGCATGTGGTTAGAGGTGATGCAATCGAAGAGAAACAAGCACTCATTTTGCAAAATCAGTATGGATACTGAAAAGATTGTGAATAGCAGCAGCCGCCACAATGATTTGAAAGAGCTGATCTTTGTAATACTCTGTACTCTTATGAGGAAGCAGGGGCTTAGCATAGACTGGGGAGTTCTCTGTTCAGATCCCAGATTAGCAACCAAACTCAAGTGGACAGCTCTTCGCCAGTCACTGACTTTCAGCTTATCTTAGCACACCAGGTTGTTGTAAAAATAAAAGAGGAACACACTGACCTGAGTTCCTGAGAGTGGGTGTGGTTTGGCATTTGGGGCTCAGATCCATCTCTGCCTGGCACAAGTTCTTCTGTGGCAGGTTACATGTCTTTTGTGGTTAGCTCAAGCCCCATCACAGCCATTTTGTGGCGGTGCCCATAGTTCATTGAAATGTGTTCCTGGGTCCAAAAGGTTAGGAACTGTGCCGCAGCTCATTTCTTATGCCCCCCTGTAAGGCAACCCCTGCATATAAAGTGGTGGGTGGGGGAAAGGGAGCATGGGAGGAAGCTAGAAGGAGGGCTGTTGGGATCCACAACATGCTACACAATGCTCCTCCTGAACTAATTGAGACTGTCCATTAACATATTGGCTATACTTGTAAGGAGTGTGGCTACTACATTACACAAGGAGAGGCAGCTGAAAAATTTGGCAAATGGAAAAGTCAGAGAAGACAACTTTAGAAAATAAGATGACATATATAGAGGAAGCAAAGGAAGCCAGCTTATTTCTTATTTTTAATAAGAGGGTGTTCTATTGGGAAGGCTAAGACTGAGCTTTGATGCAGAGGTACCCTGTTATCAGTACTTGGTTACAGCAGAATGTTAACTTAGCTGCAAACCATTTCATTATTTATCACCTTTATTATGCATTTAGTTGTAGTCACACTTGCAGAAGAAGTAGGAGAAAACCTACTTTAGATCATTTAAGGTGCAACTATGCACAAGTTTAGGCAGAAAAAAAAATCCAGTATGCCCCAGCCAGCACAGCTGCCTTTTCCTGTCTAAATGTGGTTAATTAAGTGTTCACAAGGAGTACAGGCTAAAGCTGAGCAAGACATTTGCGAAGATATGTAACTGACAGTTCTTAGCAACTCACTTTGTTGTCCACAGAGCTGTTATCATTTGTTTCTGCTTGTTTAGACTTATCTTCTTCCTTTTTGCCTTTGTTCTGCTGTTCATCACTGAGACCATAATTGATCCGCTGACAAGGAGACTTACTGAATCCTGGAGGGTTTCCGTATGTGTGTCTTGTATGATGTGGAGGTAAAAGTCTCAGCATAGACTGGCTCTCAGTTTTCACATCCTCCTGTGTTTTGCTGTCAGGAAAAAGGTATGTAATGTATTGGTTGATAGTTAGGAAAATACATCTATCTATCCATTTACAATACACTCCAACACCAGCCATATTTGTATTTTGGAGCACTGCTTTATTAGGCAGAAGAAAATAGTAAGAGCAGTGAGGAGAATCTGAAAGGTCTTTAATCCCTGTGAAAACTATATGTGTAATTCTGAATACCATAATCTCAAAAACAATCTCAGCTCAAATCTCCTGAATTTTATTGAGAGGCTAACTTCAATGGAATAAACAGAAAATGAAGATATGGAGAAGATGTATGCAAAATGACTATAAAAGATTTTTGTTGACAAGGAACAGGAAAGAGACATACCCATAAACTGTCCCAACACTAAACATGTAGCATTAGTAAGAGGAATTTGTGCGAGACTTGCTTATGTCAGTTGAAGTCAAGGCAAAAAGACAAAACCCGAAAATGGTGCTAAAGAAAGTTAGGGTGCAATTTGATGTATGTTTAAGTGAAAGAAAGCTCCATCTCTCCTAACATTCTGCAGTTTCTATCTTAAGGTGTGCAAGACTGCAGCTTTAGTGGTGGTGAAGTGCAGTGAGCTTTTTCCCTTCTACCAGATAAGATTGATGAAGATTGCACATAGGTCTGTTTGTAACTTCCTCCCCTTAAAGAACCATGTATAGGACAATCATGGAAAACAGATATTCCCACAATCAGATGTGCCCTGCAGGGCTTGAAGTGCACTATAAGCTGATTGTGGGGGAGCAGACTCACCAAGTTCTTCCATCTACTCACAGCTATGAATAGACAAATCCATCCAATTCATTTCTTTAAATTGGTCATTTTCCCAGTTTTAAATTTGATTCATCCCAATGATTGGATTAAATTAAATTTATCCCAAAATTTGATTTTTTTTCTAAGCTGCCAATCAGGTTTTTTGTACATTTTGAACATTTTAGAGTGTTCATGAAAAATTGTGTGTATTTTGCACACATTTCTCAAAATATGCAAATTTTTGTTTGCATAATTATCTAATATACACATTATCCATCAATAATACTTGGATTTTTGTATGTACTCTCCCCTAATATATCATTTTATATACATTTTTATTGGAGAATTCCACTGCAAAATTTGGGAAAGTGCAAATTTTGAATGATAAGTGACTTTTGGGTGACATAATTATTCAAAGCTGCAAAATAAGGTAAATTTCCCTTAAGGAGTGACCTGAACAGGTATATCTGCTATCTATTCACACCAAATGAGTTAAACATTATTTGCTGCATGGCAAACATCTTTTGGAGTTAAGGCTAAAATCCTGTGACCACTAGACTAAGTCTAGAAGGCCATAGGATTTTTCAGAGTCTAAGTTCCCACCTGAAAAACTTGCTCTGGGGGTAGAGATGGAACTCTGACCTCAGAGCACTCTTTCACTGCCCTCACAGCCAGCATAGAAAGAATTGCACTAGTTACAGTTCCAAGTTGCAAGAGTAACTTTGGGGGATGGAGAAAGGAAGGGAAGGGATGGGAGGAGAAAGGTAGAAACAGCATATGCAGTATCCTCGGCCTCTCATGCTCTGGGGAAAAACACTCATATTGCTAAAATTTCCTAGTGTTTTGTAGGGTAGGAGCCCTCCATAGGATGTCCATAAAGGTTTGAAACAGGGGATTGCAGGCATTAGACTGCATTAGCTGAGGATTTTCAAAAGCAGTTTATATCTGAACGTGACTGCTTTCTGCTCTTTTGTGGGGGGGGCACCATTTGCAAAAAGCTCCTTTTCTCTACCTTTGGCACTCCCCCCGCCCCCAGTGTGTTCCTGTGCCTCTCACATGCTTCTTTTATTTATCCTAGTCTTTCCCTTTATAATCCTTCCCTTCCTCTTCCTCTTCCATTCCAATATCAACCAGCACAAAGAAAATAAACTCGTGAAGGAGAATGCTAAGTTACAACCCCTCTCCTGCTGGCTTTCTACATGCAAGGAGTTTGGATTTGGAACTTGCTAATTGGATTAGTATTTAAGCTGCTTTTATATACTCCGTGAATTGCCTAAATAGCTTATCCTTATAACAGAGAACTTAATTTAACTTGTAAGCATAAGGATTTACTGCACTTTAATGAGTAGCACACCTTTCATAAAACACCAATTCTAAATATTTGTTTTAATTAATAACACAAAGTCACTAATGTATATCAAAAAGATATTCGAGATCTCATACTTACTCATCATTTTTTTCTACAAGGCATCGAACATACTTGCTCCCAATTATTTTTATTACAGTCTCATAATTAGTGTTTAATCCATAAGGGAGGTTGCTGACTGAAGCCATTGGCAGCAATGTCTCTATGGAAGGCGACTTCCTGCAACTTCAAAAGGCATAACTTTAGAGATACACAGAGGAGAGGTCCATCTCTTTCTCCTTTGGAACAAACAAACAAAACTGAATATGGACAGCCTTGGAAAGGGTCTGTTCAAGTTGCTGCATGGCAAACAGTACGCATGAAGCCTGTAACAGAAAGCCAACTGGGATTCCCTATTCCCCTTGACTGATTGGCCCCAAAAGCCACCCAGAAATTTCCTGACTCCCAGTTCCCAAACCAGACACTGGATTTAGCACATGATCACCCAAATATGGGGAATAAAACAAGTGTATTGAAAGGATAAAACATAGGGGTGGAGGGGACTATAACACTAGGTTTAAAATGGGGAAATGGGGAAGGCAGGGGGAAGTTGGAAAGCAGCAATTTGACAGATCACAGTCAAACTAGCACCCCCCCACCCCAATCCCAGGGTCTTGTTGAACACTTGAACCCAAAAACAACAAAGCTAACTCTTCTCCAAACTATACACAGAAGATCTATCTTCCACAGGGTTGTAGCATGCAGGGCATCAAAGGATTCTTCAACATGGACAGTTGACAGTGGAATGGAGCCCCCAAAGAGGAACAAAGCGCTTCTCCATTCCCCCACCTTTATTCCCCCCACAGTTGATCAGCTGACTCATGGGGAGGTGACCTATCTCCCAATCCTCTGAGGCCACCCATTTGCTCAACCCACTGCTCATTACCAATTTAGCTCTGCCATCTCTTGATCATCTCTGCCATCCTTGAGTCCATAATTTATCATGTTTTATTTTGTGACTATGAGCCGCCCAGAGGCACTGTGACACAATTGGGAGGCATACAAATGCATACAAATTACTTAAATAATTCTATTAACTCCGAAAAGTATATCAAAAAGGGAATGCATGACTCCTGAGAACTTGGGCACCGGATTCCCACTGAGTTGGCACTATAGATTATAACACTTAACCCTTTCCTTACCCAGGGGAGCCAGGAAGCCTGTTTCACATCACAATGCCCATCAAAAGAGTAGAACAACAGAGTAATAAAAGCAAAGTTTGTTCCTTGTCTCACTGAGTTTCCAAAGTAAAGGTCAAGTTGAAGAGGGCAGAGGGCAACCAAGGACTGTGAGCAAATGCAGTCACATCTACATAGGCTTGTGCTTTCATAAAAGTGTGGCTTGCATCAATTTTCATCCTGTCAACTTTCTTCACCGTCTAGCTTTCACACTGTAAATAGTGATTTGGGATAAAGTGCTGTGGACGATCCAGACCTTGGTCTCCAATGAGACATCCCTACATTTGAAAACCTTCATTACTGCCGTTCTGAGTTTCAGTCTGAATTTCTTGGCTGCAGTCTTCTAATTTTTTGGCTAGAGTCTTCCTTGAGTTGAGAAGTGAGCCAACACTTTCAATTTCTCCATTGCTGACAGTTCTGTTGTTCAGGTCATCTCTGACTTATGCTAACCCCATGAATGGAAGTCGTCCCAAACATTGGGTCCACAGCCCCACTCAGCTCATCCAAGTTCAAGGCTGTGGCTTCCTTTATGGATTTGATCCTTCCCATAATCATTCTTCCCTTTCGTCTTCTTTCGACTTTCCCTAGCATGATTGTCTTCTCCATGTTTATCTTCTTATCATGTTTCTTTATTGTTGACAGGAAAGTTTTGTAATTCTTCTGTGATCATGATTTTTGTTTACTTAACATTCAGCTGCAGCCCTGCTTTTGCGCTTCCTTCTTTCACTTTCATCATGAGTCATTTCAAGTTAGTGCTGCTTTCTGTGAGTAGCATGGTGTCATCTGCATATCTTAACTTATTGATGCCTCTTCCATCAATTTTCACTCCTTCTTCTGATTGTAATCCAGTTTTCCTTATGATACATGTTTATACAGATTGCACAGACAGGGAGTTAAAATACACCCTGTCTGACACCCTTACCAAGAGGAAAGCATCCTGTGTCTCCATTTACTGACCTAAAACTAGCTTCTAGTCCATGATACAGGCTATGCATCCAAACAATCAAGTGCTGAAGCACACCTGTTTCTTTTAGGACCATCTGTAGTTTCTTATGATCCACACATTCAAAGCCTTTGCTATTGTCTATAAAGTATAGACTGAGCTTCTTCTGAATTATCAGCTGTGCTCCAGTAACCAGCATATATGTGAGATGCAGTCTCAAGGGTTTCTGCCTATTTGGACTGGCTTGAACATCAGGCATTTCTCTCTCCATATAGTGCAGTGGTGGCGAACCCATAGCACCCATGCCACAGTGGGCACGCAGAGCCCTCTCTCTTGACACATGAGCCAAGTCGCCCCAGAATCTGAGCATCGGATAACAGTGCACATAGGGGCCATGCGCATGCTTGGAAAGGAGTAGTGGCGCCAGGCGATGACATCATATGCCACAACTTATTAGCTGCGACTTGTCCGAGCTTTTGCATGGCCGGTCAGTGCGCTGCCAAGGATATATATATTTGCTTGGACTGGCTGTGAGTTGTTTTTTCTAAACTAAAACCTTAGTTTTCAGGTTTTATTGCAGTGTTGGCATGTTGTGATAAATAAGTGGGTTTTGGGTTGCAGTTTGGGCACTCGGTCTCTAAAAGGTTCACCATCACTGATATGGGGTAAAGTTCTTTCTTGCAACACCTTGAGCATTACTTCAACAATTAGTGCAATGGTCCTATAGCTTAGCATCTCCTTTCTTTCTTTGAGAACTGCAATGCATATTGAAAATTTCCAGTTTGTGGGCCATTGGTTTTATGGCATTCCTACCATCTGCCCATAAACAGCAGGAAACTCCCCAAGGGTGAGGCCACTCCCTTTGGGGGATTTGGCAGGAGGCAGATTTGGTCTGCGATCAACCCCCCCCATGGGCAAAGGCTAACCACCAACCAGAGGACTTGTGACTTTGATCAGTAGTACTTGCTAACAACTTGATTATTACTCTCTCTGCATTGCAAAACCAGCCCACTCTACTTTAGAAGCCTTTCCCCTTGGTCTGTTGGAAAGGAAAAGGGGGAGAGATGTGCTCATGATGAAAAGCATGGGCACAATGAGACATTCCTTTCAATACTAGATCCCGAGCCATTTGTGGCTTTTCAAGTCAGTTCAGCATTTTGAATTTGGCTGGAAAAGAGATAGGCAACCAAAGCATCCCCTTCAGGGTCAATGGGCCCTGGTAGCAGTCTGTCAGCACTCCAGTACCTGTCTGTTGTACCAATTTTCAGATCCCTGTCAGTGGCAGCCCCACATCACCTGCTCTACAGGAACTACCTTTGCTGGTCCTGGACAGCTCTGTAGACTGGTGGAAGGCCTTTCTGGATGGAGCAACTAGATGGCTTCTGCAATGGGAACCAGGCTGCCTTATTCTGAGCCACCTGACTGTACTCTGAGCAATGGACTGGTCCCTGTCACTTGGATATTCCATATTCCAGGCAACACTCAGCAAAAACATAGCATTAGCCTCCAGCATTTATTTCCCTGCATCCCTTCCAGGGTCTGAAAGCACCCACCTCTGTTGTGCCGTCTGCGTAGTTTGGCCTTTCTCCAATGGTTATGGCCAAAGATGTGGAGCTGAAGCAGCAGCAGCCTCGGTCAGAATGCGTGAACTGCTTTTCACACTTACCATGGTGAAGAGTCTCCTGTTGCTAAGGATGCCATGCTGTTGCCGGGCTGGGAAGAACTCGTTTCTCCACAGTCAGCGCAGCAGGAGGCATGTGTTAGCTTGCAATTGATCGGGCTGACAGATTAGTTGCCTGGTTTATGCAATACCAAATGCTCAGAGGTCATTCGGATTTGTCTACCCAAGCGGCAGAACAAAAATGTTTCTGCAGGACTAGCAGGCTGTGAGTGTTTAGAACAAACAACAGAAGACAGTTTTGCTAGTCCAAGTGTAAAGAGGTAGATGTGAGCCTTTCACAGAAGTGAGAAAGCCACCCAATGAGAAACCATTCAACTCAGGCTATTCCTTCAAAGCTCAGGGAACAGGACAAGACAGAGGAAGGCCTGTATGGAATGTGACGGCTTCCCTCATACTGGGGAGAGGTGATTCTTGACTACTTCAGAAATGAATCGAAAGGGTGCCCTGCTACTGAATATAGCAATGGCAAAAGAATTGCAGATCTCAAACAGGAGAACAGGATTGTGGTGATGAAAGAGAAGATAAATAGATTAAATCAAAAGGCTGAGGGAACATAACATTCATTGTACATGGAGTGACCGAGGAATATGAAAAGGCTGTTATAAACTGACACATCATCAACAATCCAACCTGAAATGGATATATACTTTAAAGTGGTATGAGTGATACATAGTGATTTTTTTTTCCTTTTTGTGCTGCTGTGATGAACATAGCAAATGCAGGCTTACCTTTGCATAACTATAGAAGTTATGTTTAAATTAATGACAAATATATTTCACCAATAGTCAGATCGTCAGAATTCATTGTATTTAGGCATTTATTTACATTAATACCCTGCATACCCTGAGATCATCTTTGGAGGCCCTTTTTGGGTGCCCCTGGCAAATGAGGGGATGTGGGTAGCTACTAAGAATGGCTCTTAGTGGGAGCACCCTGAGAATCAGTTGCTGCCTACGTTGTGGTCTTTTTGGGACCAGGTTAAAACATGCTATCTTCCCAGTCTCCTAGGTCTTTTAGCTCCATTTGTAAATGTGCTACTGTTCCTTTGGGTTGTTACACTACCGTTAGATTTTACTCTAATTTTACTTCAGTTTCATGTTGTTTTAAACATTTTAAAGTTTTATATTTTACCATCTTGCATTTTTAGGTTTTTAATTTTCTGAATCACCAAAACGTGCTTTGGCTATTGGGAGGTATATTTTAATGTAATGTAATATGTATTATTTAATTTCTATACTTCCCAACAGCTAAAGCTTTCTGAGCAATTCACAACACAGTAAAATCAATAAAAATATACCATATTAAATATATTAACATCCTAAAAATTTACAATACAAATTTTTAAAA